TAAAAATGGATATTGTAAAGATATGCGCTTTTCTTTCCAATTTGTATGTTGTCGTCTCTGATCAACGCGATATTCGCGGCACTCGTAGTTCTTTGGAATTGCAATTACGCGCTCCTATCGTGTGCCACAATGCCACCGTCACGAGTCATTCTTCAATGCACTTTTTTTTTCCACAAACTTTTACCTTCATAAAACTGGTTTTGTTGACTGTTACTTTTCATCTTACTATGTTCTCAGTTTCGTTTTCAAACAATGAGTGAAAATGAGTGTTACACTGTTATTGCATGGTAGCCCTTTACTAATTGTTTAGAAGGATGCACCAATTTTCCATGCGCACTTATCTCTTGGCTTGAAAATCTCCCGCTTCCATCCTAACCATATCATACTTATTATAGCTATTCCACTTGCTTTTTCTCCAGTATCCACGATGAAGTCAAAAGTTCACAGTGAGATGGAAATACTAGAGGTACTCACTTCTTGCACCAAGAGAAGAAATAACTTGCCCATTGCTTGTTCTAGAAAAATGACAAATTAATAACTCGCTACTTCCAAGAAGCGCGCCATGTGGAGGATATCCTCGGTATAAAAGAGGACGGTGAAGAGCGAGATATTTGGTATGAATTTAATCCCTTAATGGTGTATCTTCCTACTTCTCCATTACTGGTAGTTCTCAGGAGACGATACAGTAAAGAACGGATGAAGACGGTCTCAGTAGCACTTGTGCTGTGCCTGCACATAGGTGTGTAGACGAGTCATTTTTCTTTTTATATCCATTTTCGCTTTTCGTTTTAGGTGTGACCGTTTTTAACAGTTCGAGTTGGAACTATTTACTGTAGGAGTAGACCCGCCGGACTCGATACCGAAGCCATCGGCACGTGCACGACTAGAAGCCTGGGTTGATCCGTACTGCTGTAGTCCACAAAAGGCCGCGTACAAGATTGCAACATCATTGCAGAAGAGTTACGAACGATGGCAACCACGAGCAAGGTACGTGTCCTCGCAATACACTACGTTTCATGGACTTGTGTTACCCAGTTTGACAATTGCATAGTACTCGTCATCTTGCTATCCATATAGGCCGTACTTCTCGCTGCAGTAGGGTAGTATAGGGAGCTCACTTATTGTAAAAATTCATCACAATTACAGTGTTAATTTTAAGCTCTGCATTATCATGTA